TCTGCGGCCCACAGGGGACCTGGGAGCCGCCCGAGAGGCGCCCGCCTACAGCCGCAGTCCCGGCCTCGCCGGGACCCTTGAGCACGTACGGGCTTGGGCTGAACTCTCCATTGCAGGGGTCAGTGACGGGTGTCTAGAGTGGGCAGATGTCTCCCCGGTAAGGGAGCCTGTGGCCGAGCTGTCACAAGCGGCTGTACTTTCCTCTAGCAATGCGCAGCCTGCACAAGGTCTCCTTCCTGTCACCGTGTGAAGGACAGAGCCACTGCCAGGGCCCACCTGGGAGCCTAGGCCCCACTGCCCGAACCTAGAAGCTCCAGGGTGTGGGAAGCCAGCCATGGCCCACTGGCTTTTTGAAAGACAACATTTGTTCCTTTTTAAGGACTGCACGTGTTAAACTTGTTTTGACCCTGCACGGGAGAAACACGGACAGCCAAAGATCTGTAGGAGTCAGGTGCTTCCTGTTAAAGATCTGATGTTATCTATAGGAGTCAGGTGTTGTAACTGCATTTTGTTAAGTTCCTCCACCTATTGTGGGAATCATGATTATTAGTTGCAAGTGTTGTTAATTTGTTTTTCTTGAGCCTGCTTTCTCTTGCCCGTGTGAACCCTCCTTCCCGTGGAGCAGGTGTTGAGGTTACTATGGTAATCCTAGCCCACAATAGTTCGGTCTTTTCCTTTAAAAGGCTGATGCCTGCCTGCAATAAACGCCGCCTTGATCAGACTCTTGGCCTCCTTCCTTTCTCTCTGCCCCATCTCCACCCCACTGCTCTTTCAGGTTTGAGGCACTGCTGGACAGTGCTCTGCGTCGCCGGTTCGCGACAAATGGCGCCCGAACAGGGACCTGAAATTGAAGCGGCCAGCGGTGAGTAATCAGAAGAAGCCTGCTATCAAAAAGGGCTCGGCGGAGTCGAAACAAGGAGGACACTGCTGTCTGGAACGCCCGGCGGGGAAAATCCTCGGAGAAGCAGGTACCAATGGAGCACATAGGATCTAAAATGAAATTTAGCACAGCAATTCAGTCTTTACTCCGTGAGAAAGGAATTAAGGCAAATAAAAAGTCATTGTTTCAATTTCTTGATTATATGGATGAAACTTGTCCTTGGTTCAGTGATATAGATGAAATAACTGAAGATGTTTGGGCTAGAGTAGGAGAAGAATTAAATAAAAAATTAAGGAGTCATAATTCTGACA